TGCCATCGACTGCGACTGGTCGGCCATGGTGCGTTTGACACCTACTTACTCTCTACTTCGCCCTTCGAGAACAGCATCTGCTAAGGACTATTGTCACCTGAGAAATTTCTTCCGTCTCGCTGGCCAATGATGTGGGCGAGGGCGCCGACACCCAAGCTGGCGCCACCGCTGCGCAAGCTGATGAACAGCTCGCGCGACGTCGGCGCGGAGGAGCCGGGCAGGCGCAAGCTGGTGCTGCTCTGGACGCACATGTACAGAGCGAGCAACTTTAGCGGGTGCGCAGTGAGCGCGTGCGACGTGACGTCGGATCGGACGCGCCTCAAGGAGAGCGACGCGGTGATGTTCACGATGGCGCTGTACAGAGCTCACAAGCACGGTGTGCCCGAGTACAGGCGGCCCGACCAGCGCTGGGTGTTTGTCACGTACGAAGCGCCGCCCGTCGTACGCTGGATTTACAAAAAGCTGGACGCCTTCAACGGCTGGTTCAACTGGACGATGAGTTACCGACGCGACTCGGATATCTTTTTCCAGGTCGGCAACGTCGCGCGTCGACGGACGCCTTACGACACGGCGGCCAGCATCGACTACGCAGCACGCAAGACGAAGCTCGCCACCTGGTGGATGTCGCACTGCCCGACGGACGACAGGCGGGAGTACCTTGTGAAACATATCAAGCGCTATATACCCGTGGATGTATTCGGTCGCACTGATAACTGCGGTCAGACGGTCTGCCACGACTGCGACTGGTCGGCCATGTTGCGTGACACCTACTACTTCTACTTCGCCTTCGAGAACAGCATCTGTAAGGACTATGTCACCGAGAAATTCTTCCGCTCGCTGGCCAATGATGTGGTGCCGGTGGTACTAGGTGGCGCCAAATACACTGACACAGCTCCGCCTCATTCCTACATCGACGTTCGAGATTTTCGCTCCGTCAAGGAGCTTACCAACTACCTCCAGCTAGTCGCTGGCAACAGCACCCTTTACAATGCCTACTTTGCCTGGAAGCGGGACTATGTTATTGACACTTCAGCTGCGGTATATCAGAACAGGTGGTGTCAACTATGCGAGAAACTGCACGCGCCCGCCTCACAACCTCAATCGTACGATATACAGCGCTGGTTCACCGACGACTCTAAGTGCTTGCGTTATGACGAGACGTCTACAGAGGAGATGAAATTCATCAAATCCACATTGAAGCGGCCATATCAACGGGTGCGAGTTTCTGACTAAATTTACTTGCCTGGCCACTTTCAAGCTTTCAGACTGAGCTCAGCGTGTGCGCTCACGTGCGCGCGCGTGTGTCTATCTGTCTATTCATCTGCTTGGCTAGTCGCGTGTATAACCGGTTATTATACATTTATTTATATGTATAAATAAACAGGGGTAGAAATAAGGAGAAAAAAGAGATGGTCCACAGGACCATCTAGTTTGAAATTTAGATGGTCCTCCTAAATTTTAGATGGTCCTCCTAAATTTCAAATTGTTCTCTAAAAGTAATGCGGCGTGCAAGAAATTTACCGTAAAATGGGACCAAAATATTGACTTTGAAAATCGGATGGTCCTCCTGATTATTTGATGGCCCCCCCCATACCATCGGACCATCGCTATTATTTCGACCCCCTGATTATTACATATATTTGTTCGCGGGGTTTTCATTTGTAAACAATAGTCATAACTCTGAAGCACTAACGGGTAAGCTTTTCGCATTACATGACGTAGGATACAAAGACGTTGAGGGAGTGAAATGGCCGGCATCAATTGATAAAGGGTCGGTATTAGATCAAATCCGTTCTGATTATAAATAACTGACATAAATTTAAGGACGCGGGGTCGTAAGGAGGCGTGCTGTAGGTTTCTAACCTAAACTACATATGGTTCATACAGATTTCTGACAGGCGGTTTCATCAAAAATGTATTCAAGCGAGCGGCAATCAAGTATAGTCTTATCAGGAGTGAATATCAGGAGATAATCTCTATTATTCACTCCTGGTCTTATCAAGTATATCTGTTCAGTTGCTAACATTTATTTATGTGCAATGCACCACTATAGTTTTCCAGAGCATAGTTTTCCAACAGCATTTCTATCACCGCCACTACCGTCACCGCCGCCACTGCGACCGCCACCACCACTGCTATCGTCACTACCGCCCCCGCCCATTCACCACCACCCCCTTCACTACCACCACTGTCGCTCCACTCCTAGGCCACCAGCACTACTTCTACTACCACCAATCCCATCACCAGCACCAGCACCACAGGAGTGCAAAATAATAGGTCTATTATTATACACTCTTGACCACATCACCACACCACCGCAACCTCCACAGACACACAATTGCCATCGCCGCCGCCGCCACCACTACCACAACTACCATCACCAGCCCCACCACCAGCAGCAGCAGCAGCAGCGGGAGCAGCAGCAGCAGCTAGGGATAGTCAGAGTAGGCCAGAGGTGAGACTGAAAGGTGGCTAGGGATAGTCAGAGTAGGCCAGAGGATAGACGGAAAGGCAGGGCTTAGAGTGAGAGGGTTTAGGTCGATTGCCTCCACTGCACACTTGGCTGCAATCAGTCAGCAGAAGTAGTCAGAGTAGGCCAGAGGTAGACAGGGTAGGCCAGAGGTAGTCAGGGTAGGCCAGAGGTAGTCAGGGTAGGCCAGAGGTAGTCAAGGTAGGCCAGAGGTAGACTGAAGAAACTTAGATAACGAAAATATAATCACACGGCCGCGTGGGCGCGCGTGGGCGGTGCGCCGCGATACGTACGCATCGTGTTGTGGTAGTAGTGGAGGATGTACTGCGCCTCAGCCACCTTCCAGTCGAGCAGCTCTAGCTGCGTGCTCAGGCAGCGGTAGACGTAATCCAGCGGGCAGATCTCTGCGATGTGAGGAGAGCGGACGGAGATGAGTTTTTAAACGCGCGTCAATGCTTCGTAGAACGGTCGCTTCCGTCAGTTTTTTCGATTGCATTTCTTGCTATGCTATGCCATGCTATAAGCACTATGTTATGCTACACTAGGATGTGTCGTGGTGAGACTTGAGCACCGTTTTGCATTGCCTAACGCACTGCCCCTGCTATGTTACACTATGCTATGCTACACTGCATCACAGTGAAACCTGCCCCTCTTTCACCCACTGATTCCTGCACCATTCTTGCTATGCTAAACTAAGCTAGAAACTCTATACTGTGTCGCAGTGAAATTCAACCCCATTTCATATCGACCAATGCTACACGATATATATTATTATTCTACGATATGCAACACTGCAACACAGCAAAACCTGCCACTCCTTCCGTTATCCGCTATATCTCGCCGTCATCGCTGCACACACCCCTCTTGCTATGTTAAAGTGATTACGTCCCGTAAATATTTAAAAATAAAAAAAATATTTCCACTTTTTCACAAAATATAAGTAATTCTGTTCACTTTTTATGGTTAAATTGCTGCATTATTACTTCTTATTTTACTATATTGTTCGATGTGAACATACACTCGTGACTCATACATAGCCCATAGCAAGCAATTAATGTCAGGAACACAATATCAAGTCTACGTTATATTCCGTAGTTTACAAACAGAGACTGTCATGGATGTCGCCATTACGGGGCTGTATATGTAGTCAGGTCCGTGTCTATAGGCTAGTCTCAGGCGGGTCTACGTCATCCCTGACGTCTGCTGAGAGCTCGTTACAGGTGCCGACTCGGGAATGATCGCGATCGCCAATCATTGATGATTGATTGGTTGGTCGGCTCGATGAAAATCACGGACATCAATGTAGGAATGAGGCGGAGCTGTGTCAGTGTATTTCGCGCCACCTAGTACCACCGGCACCACATCATTGGCCAGCGAGCGGAAGAAATTCTCGGCGACATAGTCCTTACGGATGCTGTTCTCGAAGGCAAAGTAGAAGTAGTAGGTGTCACACAACAATCCATAGCGACTGCATCTCACATGGGGACGCGCGTCTATAGCAGATGCTTGATAATTGCCGACTGACAACTGCTTTACTCATCGCATGTCTCTCACGCTTTGCAGCTCAGCGCGGATGCGACGTCATTGACCGACCACTCGAGCGCAGCATCATTCGTCAGATTGGCCTCACAGCTTGCTGCATAAACAAACGATGCACGACCGACAGACCCGCTCATTACGATATCCACCTGCGTGTGCTCTTTACAACGCTTCCTACATCCCCCGAATAGTACAATTATGTTTTATTAACCCACGTCACACGCGGCGAGAGCTAGCATAGACACGCGCTTGCCATCAGCACCAACATGGCGCCGGCGATAGGCGACGAGCTCGACAGATCTGAACTACAGGCGGCGCCAGAAGCGGCGACGTCGGAAGCTCGGCGAGGTGCGTCGGGCTGCGACGGTGGCGCCGGCCGCAGCCGCGTTAGCCGCGTGCTCGCGCTGGCAATGTTCGTCACGTGCTACCTCGTGCTCTCCTCGTACATAAGCAGACGAGAACACACACTAGCGAGAGCGCCCGCGCCGGCGGCAGCGGCGGCGACGTCGGCACAACTGCGGCGGACGATGTCTGAGCCGGGGGCCGACGTGCGTGCGCAGTCCGGCCGACGCAGACTCGTGCTACTCTGGACGAACATGTTCGGGAAACCCAACTTCACAGGATGCGCCGTGAGCGCCTGTGACGTCACGTCGGACCGCAGCCGCGTCAAGCACAGCGACGCCATCTTGTTTACGATCTCTGTGTACAACCCGCGAACGGACGGTGTGCCCGAGTACAGGCGGCCCGACCAGCGCTGGGTGTTTGTCACGTACGAGGCGCCGCCCGTCGTACATTGGTCCTACAGAAAGCTGGACGTGTTCAACGGCTGGTTCAACTGGACGATGAGTTACCGACGCGACTCGGATATCTTCTATCAGGAGGGTGACGTCGCGCGTCGACGGACGCCTAAGGACACGGCGGCCAGCATCGACTACGCAGCACGCAAGACGAAGCTCGCCACCTGGTGGGTGTCGCACTGCCCGACGGACGACAGGCGGGAGTACCTCTTAACTTGTGACATATCAGGCTATATACGCCGTAGCATGTATTTGGTCGGCAACTGATAACTGCGTCAGACGGTCTGCCACGACTGCGACTGGTCGGCCATGTTGCGTGAACCTACTACTCTACTTTCGCCTTCGAAAGACAGCATCTGTAAAGGACTATGTCACGCGAGAATTCTTCCGCTGCGCTGCAAATGATTGGTGCCGGTGGTACTAGGTGGCGCGCAAATACACTGACACAGCTCCGCCTCATTCTTAGCATTGATGTCCGTGATTTTCGACTCCGTGCAAGGAGCTTGTACAACTACCCTCCAGCTAGCTCGCTTGGCACGGCACCCTTTACAATGCCTATTTGCTGCGAAAGGCGGGACTATGTTATTGACACTTCAGCTGCGGTTTCTCAACGTAGGTGGTGCCCCTTGTGTGAGAAACTGCACGCGCCAGTTTCCCGACCACAGTCGTACGACATGCAGCGCTGGTTCACAGAGGACTCCAAGTGTATGCGTTACGATAAAAACTATGCGGATGAAATAAGATACAAGAAGTCTAACTTGAGACGGCCGCGTCGGCATATTCGGCTTGAAGAATAAATCTATCTGGCTACCGATTCGCTGGTCTCACACATTCCGGGCGCGTGTGAAAATGTATTCGCGTGAATCTTTTGGAATCGTAGGTTTCTTTTGTAAACATCGTTGAGCTACGTTTCTGTTCAAGCTAGTCTCTATTAACACGTTGACGCCAAAATTTAGCAGAGACGCATCGCCGAAACCACGGGAACTTGGAACGTCTCAATAAAGAAAAGTAAATAACACGAAATGTATTTTACTACTATCAATCATTCAATGTTTCTTTACACTCCTATCTTCGCCTATTACCGTATTGTCGATCAACTTTGCGTAATGCGTCAAATGCCATATCTGAACAACAAGTACCCCGCACGCACGCCCTGTGCACAAACAACAAGAAAAAGAGAGGGACATACTAAACAGCCGCATGTTCGTCGGAAATGTGCTACTAAACAGCGAAATTGAGATGTGCGCGGACTGTGCAAGAAGGGCAGGAATGTGCAGGATGTGCGCTGAATTGCAAGGAATGTGCCAGGAATGTGGTAACTAAACAGGCGAAATGTGCTACCATACAGGGAAATGTGTCAGAATTGTGCGAATTGTCAAGAATGTGCAGGAATGTGCGCGGAATGTGCAAATTTGCAGGATTGACAATATGTGGCGTAATGTGCATCATAACGCATGCGATGTATCAAATGGTCAAAAATATTATATAAAAAAGCGAAATGTGCTACTAAACAGTCGAAAGTGGTACTGTAACAGCGGAATGTGCGTGGAATAGTAAGAATGTGGTGGCAATCGATCAAATAACTGCCGAATGTATGCAAAATGTGTACACAATATTATAGGCCATAAATCAGCGAAATGGCTACTAAACACCGAAATGTGCTACTAAACAGCGAATGGCGTGGTAATAGGTAAGATGTGGGTGAAAGTGCGCTCAAAATCTCCGCAATGGTATCAAAATGTTGTAAACAATATTATACACTAAACAGCGAAATGTGCTACTAAGCAGGCGAAATGTACGGCTTACTAAACAGCGGATTGCGCGGTAAGGTAAAATGTGGCGCAAGTGGGCATCCATAACTGCCCAATGTATCAAAATTGTGTAAAAAATATTGATACTAAACACCGAAATGTGGCTCTAAACAGCGAAATGTTCTACTCAACAGGCGAAATGTACTGCTACTCAACAGCGGAATTCGCGATGTGTTAGAAGGGCAATGTTGCACCAATAACTGCAACTCCACGCAGATTGCGCTCTGCGCTCTAGGCTCCAATCTCACAATCATGGCTGCAATTCTCTATTCAATTCTGTAATTATACTGAGGTTGGAAGAGGACTGCAATGCAGTTTGCATACTGCGGCAATGTATGCAAGAAGTGTAAAAAATGTTTCTACTAAAGCAGCGAATTGTGCTACTAGAACAGCTAGAATGTTTAACGAATGTGGCGCAATGTGCCTCATACCTGCGCAAATGTATCAAAATGTGTCAAAACAACTGTTTATACTAAACAGCGGAATGTGCTACTAACAGCGAGAGGAATGTGCGCGGATGAGTACAAGAATATTGTATGCAAAATGCTGTAAAAAATATTATACTAAACAGGGATGTGCTACTAGCGGAATGTGCGGCGAATGGTAGTATAGTGGCGCAATGTCATCATAACTGTCGCGAGTATCAAAATGTATAAAAATATTATACTAAACAGCGGAATGTGCTACTAAATCGCGAATGCATGGTACTAAACAGGAATTGCGTGAATAGGTAAAAATGTGGCAATTTGCATCAATGAACTGCCGCAATGTTCAAAATGGTCAAAAATATTATACAAACAGTGGAATGCTAGACTAACCAGCGAAATGTGTACTAACAGCGGAATGTGTGTTGGAATAGGTAAGAATACTCCTAAACTGCGACGCAATGACGGCGAAAATGAACGCGAATGACGCGAAATGACTCAAAATCATCAAGTATACATAAAATTAATATTAAATTAATGTTTTTATTAATTAAAGTTAAATTGTTATTAATTCATCTTAAAATTAAATGAAAATTGGCTATTTAAAAATTTTAAATTAACTATTAAATGAAGCGATAGGTTGTCCTGTGAATGACGCGAATGAGATGTCTTCTCCTCCCTCTTCTCTCTCTCTCTCTCTCCTCTCTCTCTTCTCTCTCTCCTCTCTCCTCTCTCTCGTCTTCTCTCTCTCTCTCTCGCTGTCCTCTCTCTCGTCTCTCTTTCTCTTCTCTTCTCTCTCTCCCTCTCCTCTTCTCTCTCTTCTCTCTCTCTC